TATACATGATGTAAGATCAATTTTTTTCCCTAGAGATTTGATTCCATTGTACTATATTGTACAAACATGTGATCAAAATGACTCTTTATGACTCTTGGAGACCTTTCCTTTGAGATTTACAAAATGAAACGTATGGAGATAACTAATAGTATTCAAGATCGAAAGTCTTTAAAATAGTACAAAATAGAAGCAGAGCAAACACGGTCATCCAAAACATCAGAGGTGGGATCAGGTGCCATGGAGGAGTGGGCATCCCATGTCGACCGGTCACACACGATGTCTTGAATCCTTCTTTTATATCACTAGAATATTCATTGACCCCATACTGCATGCAAATTTATGTCTCCTAATATGGTTATTACACACACTGTAAAAATCCTCTCTATAGGATGTTTTTAATTACTTTGACTAGCTCTCTTGCATCACTGTTAACGAAAGAGTTTTATGTGGTACATGTATATGCGTCCTAATGCAAAAATAAATCCCCTTACATGTATAATCTTTTACCTTTCTTACATTTAGTTTTGTTTAAAATTATCGTTGATTTCTTCTGTTGTTTCCCCTATCTTAAAGGATATGACATCATTTTTTTGTCATTATTACTGGAGTAGAGGGCACACACAGCTGGTAATATAGTTGATGAAACTGTTGGTAAGTAAGGAAATGCGTGGTTGTTTTATATATAAATACTGAACGAAATCATATCATGAACGCATACAATTCATTTCATTCCTGACTTATTTTTTTTATGCATATAAAAAATATTTTTCCAATTTTTATTTTATTTATTGATTTCATATGTTTTGATTGGACGTGAACAAATTCAATAAAAACATTTCCTCATCAAAAAATTTTGAGTCAGAACTACTTTCTTGACCTAGTTTTTATTTTTTAAATGAAACAAATTGTTACTTCTAGTCTATTTTAATTTATCGATATCAGAAATATGAAATTGACCTTCGTTAATGTGTTTAACATATGCTAGATCCACTTTGACGTCATAATTGATTTAATGTTACCTTTTCCCTACTTAACAGTTGTAATGGTTCATGTATTATTACACTCTGAAATGAGAAAATTTGTAAGGTTCTTTCATTTGCTAGATCTTGACCTTTAGCGGCCAGATCAAAGAGTGTCCCATGCCATGTACATGTAATAAAAATACACAACTTATTGTGTAATTTGTATTGTATGCAACTATTTTCAGAGAATGTATAAAAAAGACGTGTTAAAGATTTTGTGTAAATATTTTTTTTTTGTCTTTCACGAAATGATATATATGCACTTCTTTTCGTAATTTATTGTAAATTATTCATTTATATTTTAATGGTTGGTGTTTGATTACAAATTTTCTATCAAATGAATTTTTGATATGAAAATAAATATTCACATTTTAAAACTGCACTTAAACAATCAATTAATAAATAATTCCTGTGAAGGCGCTGAAAGGTCAAGTAAAGAAAGATTAATAAATAAGCTAATGTTTCTCGTTAGTTTGCGGGGAAAGTAAATATTTTTTCACTTTTTGTTACCATTTAGGTATGTTTTTCATTATTTTAAAGATTGATAGCAAACTGACAAAGTCTTCTGAAAAAAATATTCACAAATTTAGGATAGAAAAATTATTGAAAATTTAACATGTAATAGAATTCATTTGCCTTTACATCTTTTATGTAGACTTAACTTTTATATCGGTTGAATAAAAAAAAAATATTCTAGAGAAATATTGTTCAATACTGCTCAGTAAATAAAGCCTTTAAAGGACAATTTATTTTGTCAAAGAATTATTTTTTGTACGTGATTTTCATATTCTCTTTATGACAAGTTATCCCCCCGCCCTTTAAAAACGATTGAAAAAATGTGAAGTCGCAGTATGTAATTACCATTCCAAGTTTCACAGGCTGCACTACATTTAATACATGTAGCAAGAAAACATGTCCTCTGCTTTTTACTGATTGATAAGCGAGTATTAATTTATCAACTTGAAAGATATGAAAATCTTGAAACAAAGACTTTTCCGGCATATGTTCTACCTCAAATGAAAACAAAACTGACGACAAACAGAACAAACAGGCGGGAATACTATGTTTATGTTATTGTCAGATCATCTCACGCCATGTTCTCGACGTTCCTAATGGACTTTTACGAGAAGCACTGACTTCTACAGTTGACGATTTACGTGGACATTTAAACTTGTATCATGTACGGAAGTACCAAATTGATAATGCATAAGAAAACCTTTCTAGTAGTGATAGGTATGGTAATAGGGGCACTAACATGTGAAGACGGGGAGTTGAGAGTAGTATGGTTTCTTTTAGGACAACGTATATTTGCATTGAAATAAACCGTTATTTTCGTTTATTGAAGAGCCATTCTCTGTAATGATTTGAAATTTTATGTAGTAGCTGTGGCACATATAGTCTCAGAATTTCTCCAAACTCTCTATGATAAAAGTCATTAATACCCAAAACTGAAATCAGGCAAAAATTGGTTGCTATGTTTTAAAGTTACCATGGCAACATGTCTTAAAGTTCGAAAAATGGCATTTTTTAAACATGTTTAGAGCCCCGTAGTTAACATTTGCGGCAAAGCAAACAATTGGCAATTACTGTTTCCAAAAGTTGAAGGTCAGATATCTCCAATGCATGATAAACATGTTTGGTAAATCAATTATTACATATGTTACTATGGTAACAAAGTATTCAAAAGTAAAAAAAAAATATTAATTGAATTTTATAAAGTCATACACGTAAAAATAAAAAGCAATATAGGATGAAATGTGACCAAGTAATAGAATAAAGAGCCTTGAAACATATACCAAGAACAAAATATGATATTTCATTTTGGTTGGCAATGGTTGCCAAGGTTTTTATACCTCAGAGAGCCTTCAAGGTACATGTAACTCTCTGTATGTTTAAATCTGATCCTATCTTTTGAAAAAAAGCACATTTCATCATGACCAATGATCAATTTTATAAGATGTTGGTGTGCTCCCATTTGAAAAAATTCAAATTAGATTCTTTAAATAGAGCGTTGCTATGGAAATAATCAGAAAATATATGCTTAAAAATCTGAAAAATATTTTCTTTCCTTGGATACGTACCCTTAAATGTAGATTCCGAAAACTTTTATGATTGATATTTATTAACAGCTAACTTGACTTTTAATTTTGACTATCATCCAATCTCTGAGTGGATGCAAGAAGTTGGCACACAGGGTTTAATATTAATATAAAGTTCACAAAATCGAACATTTTCCCTTCTTGGTAACCATAGCAACAGTGTTGTTTTATTCATCAATTTTTTTCAATATATGTTATTCAACTTCAGTTCTAACAGATAAGTACTATTCAAGCTGAGTCCTTTAATTCATTTCATGATTAAATGGCAATTAAATTCTTAATGCAGCGAAAAAAATTCGCTTTTAAGCACTGGTACTTTGTTTCCATGGTAACACTGCAAAGTAGCAATCATACCCAATTTTTCTTATGGTTTTGGTGTTGCAAGGTCCTAAGGATGCATCTTTGCCAGTCTTGAATTTTCATGTTTTTCCTCAAGACAGTAGCATTAACCCAAACTTAGTTACTGGTTTTGCATGGTTACACTGTGTTACCATGGCAACCATAAAAGTTATTTATAAAATTATATTGCATATTCTTATATACTTTAAAAGGTCAAACATTTTCATTGTTTTTCTTAAGTCGTTGATTGAGTTTGAGCATGTAAGACCTACCATTAGTGAATACGGAGTGTTTTTCTGCATATTTCAGCATTTTAAATGTATTCCAAATGTACCCTTGGTTACCACTTATTTAGAGATATATTCTAAACAGTTTCTATACAGCATAAGTGACATCAAGGTGTCATGTTTTTGTGAGAGTGGTATGTTTGCTTTTTCTAGTTTTTATTAAGCCACAGTCAAGATTTAAAGTGGCTGAAAATCTCGATTTTTCAAACTTTGCCGGCTGTTGCCATAGCAACCGAGACACAAAGCAACGAAATTTTGTTTGATATTTGTTTCTGGTGTCTAGTACTAAACATCGGTGAAGTTTCATCAAAATCGGTGACCATGCGTGGCAACAAAGTTTAAGTGGTTATAGAGAATGGCTTTTAAATGTTGAGCAAAATATTTATATCACAAAAGAGCAACAGTACATAGCGTAAAAGTAAGCGTCAACTGTAAAAGTCAGCGCTCCTCGTAAAAGTCCATAAGGCATAAAAAAAATTTAGCTCAGTTCTCTGCAGCGCTGTGTTTGAAAAAAAGAAATAAGTAGCTCTTTTTTAATGTCCCTATCAGGACTTTTTCACTCATAAAGAAGGCACCTGCACTTGCCAGTGCAGGGCTATATGCTATATATATTGATTTTTACCTATGCTTAGCAATCATAGCCATTGAGCGATGAAGGATCTTTTCCATGCCAGTGCCTACATGACCTAAAATGGTCTACTCCGAGAGACCAGTCTCTACATCCCACAGAGGGATTCGGACAATGTAAGGATCAACTCCTTACTCCTTAAATCTAGAGCAGACGCTCAAACAACTTCGCCACGGAAGCGACAGAATAAGTAGTACTTTGTACATAGATTGAAAGAAAGCTTTCGAAAACCATCTCTTCAAAGTTAGACGAAATATAAATAGTCCAATACCAAAAACATACAAAAATCAAACATATTTTTAAATAAAATGGAGAGCAATTTATTTTAAGAGAAATACAAAAGAATAAGTTATATAACAGCTAGTCAAAAAAAAAATATTTACATATGTGCATGTAGAATTATGTTTCCAATATAATGTATATTAAGTAGATGTCCATAGGTCGAAAAAAGCAAATATATGTATACTACGATGGAATGTTGTATATGATTTATAATATCTTAATGCAATATAATTATTATAAAGGTCTTAAATTTCACATGATTGATCTTTAACGATATTCCATTATCCCTTGGAAGACTTTTCACTAAAAAATTGTTCTATTTTTTGAAAAAAAAATTAAAGAAAATTATTATTAATCATTTATAACACACCAGGAAGCTAACTTTAAGGTAGGTCGCGGGTTTGCTTTTGTCATCAATTTTGGTACACAATTTTGACGATTCGAGCGGCTGTTTTGTGCACATTTGATTATGACGTCAGTGACGTCACAAAGGCAACGTTGCGTTGTTTCCCGTTTAATTCTCTGCAAATGACTTCAAGTCTGTACAAATCAAGTAGATTAAAACAAAGTGCATACTATTGTAAGTAAACCTCGTACATGTTTTATAATTAAATTTCAGTCTGAACTCTGATGTTATTATATGTAATGCCCTAGGAAAAATTAAATACAATACCAAATGAAAGGAATATAATTTATATTGTAAGTACTAGTATTACTAAACTGCTAAAAGTCAATCAGAATAAGTCCGTGAAAGTTATGGTATACAGAAAGAAAGTTATCATAAATAAAACTGTTTAGCGGAAAACTTGAGGGGTTGTATTTGCGCACGTTATTTGCAGCTCGGAGGAACATGTGTATTGCATCATGACTGCTAATCAAAGCCGGGGCGAAAATATGCGTATAATTTTCAGGGTGGAATCAATCCTCAACAATGAAAACGCATTAAATTTAATACATGTATTTTCCTGTTCCTTCTTACTATCATCATCATTATTACTAAGTATTGTTTGGTTATTATGTACATGTATTTAAATCTCGTGTAGTCGACTTGTTTTACTGGCTTATAAATTGTGAAATGTATTCAAAATCCAGATTGATACAAACACCTGAGCTGTAAGACCTATATATATATGACACTGTAAACATTTTACAAGTATTTTTTTTTTTATAATAAAAGGTTTTAAAACAAAAGCTCTAGTCTAAGTGTAAAAGCTAAATGCATGTATGTATTTTGCATTTTGCGTATGGAAATTTGATTAAGAGAATTCGAAATTAACAAATGTTTAAGAGTTAGGCCCATTTACTAGCTTGCGTCTAATATAGAAAGAAAATTGCAAGCAGCCCCCCCCCCCCCCGGTAATATCCCCAGTATCTGGAAGTTTTTTTCTTTACCGTTTTCGAATAAAGTGATCAAATTTATGTGTTACATGTATGCCTGATATCCTATTCACCACGAATTTCTTAAAAATACAGGAACTAATTAAATATTTTATCACTCGCGGTGTTGTCGCTGCATGTAAAGTCTGATGCTCGAGGAATGTTTATACCGTTCATTCTGACTCTGTGATCAGAATATGAATTTCACAATACTAGTGAAAATAAGTTGCTGGTAAAATTTTGCGTCTATGACATCCTTTAGATCTTGCATATTCAAATGACAAAATATCTATATTCGTACTGTAAAAGTTTCTACGTTCAGCAAATGACGTTGTAGACATAAATAACGCCATAAACGCAACATTTTAGCAATATAAAAGGAAACTTTCAAATTATTTAGCGAAAAATCTAGCGAGAAGACATATTGATTTTTTTATATCAATAGTTTTGAGTTTACCTCATCTTGACATTTTGAAATTCTTGACTAATTCGTCTACGTCTTTAAAAAGTTATCCAACCTTTTTAAAAAAATCTATTTTCACGAAATTGCCTTAAAAACGTCATTTTTCCGTGTATGTCAATAGTAAAGCGTAAAAAATGTACTAATAACAGTACCGCATTTACAGTTATATAGCATTAAAACTACGTAGGCAAATTTTATAAAAATAGCAGATAATACTCTGTAAATTCTCAGGAATATTATATCAAATTTTCAGGATATGTTTTCTCGTAAGAATTTTTATGCAGTAAACCCGCGACCTACCTTAAGCAGCCATTGTTATTTCAATCGTTATTTATTACATCAAATATATTTATTGGTATGTGTGGATGTGTTGGTATATTTGAAACAGAACTTTGTCGAGACATTAAACTTTACGAAACGTAGAATATACAATATAGTTATCTTTTAACAAAATTCCTTTTAAATGCTGATTTTTGAAGAATTATTGGTTTCTTAGCAAAAATACCTATAGATTCAAAAAAACACGCAAAAGTACATATATGTATTAGAATTGGTAAAATTGGTAAATGTTCTAAAAACATTGTTTGTTTTTAGCCAATTGCTCATATAAACGAGTCTCGTTTCCTTCAAGATGTTCGTACAAATTAAGATTATTTTCTCCCAACTGTTCGTAAAAACGAGTTTCGAGGTCACCCAGTTTTTGGTAAAAATTTTCATTCCCGTGTGAATTGTTTTTTGGTATACTTTCCTCTAATTCGGTAATATTTGTATAAGTATCTTCATTTTCTTTTGTAGTTTGTCCTAGTGATTGTTCACTGTTTTCATATAAATCCCAACTATGTTTTCCCTCAGTGCTTTCTCTATCTGCCGAAGATTGATTTTCTTTACAGGACCCATCAAAATTGCCATTCCTGCTTTCCGACTTCTTGCACCTGCTGGATCGTCTTTATAGAACATAGATAAAAGAAATAATTAATGTTTTCACTTTTTTTTCAATTGATACTCATTAATTTTACTTTTTATTTCATCGACTTTGATTATGATTATTCTTTTAAAATGATTTTAGAAATTATTACTTACAAACGCCATCGCCAAATCAAAAGAACCAAAACAATAAATGCCACTAAGACTGAGACAACAACAATAAATACATTTCCCGGGACTGTAAACTCTTCAGATGTTGAGGTTACCAGTAGGTCACAATTTTCTTTGGAATTAAAGACTACGCTGTTGTTTTTGTTGATTCCAAGACCTAAAACAATTCCGTTTTAAAACCTACGTAAGATTCGATTTCGTGTTCAAGAAATACATATATATTAAAGAACAAGTTGCTGTCCTTTAAAAAAAGGACTACAATACGTGGACCATATGCATGTGTTTCAAACCAAAAGTCAATTTATTAAAGAAAATTTCGAAGTTTATTGGATATTCATGTAGGTTCGTTCACATTTTCTACAGCGTTTGTCTACTTTGACTGTTTTGGACTATTTTGATACACATAACCCATAATGGTTGGGACTTTACATATATTATCGTTTTACTAACAGCGTGACAGTTTGCTTGATGGGGAGTGCTTAAATTTCGTATGCTGATTATCATTTTACTCCTCGATTGGATGTTTGATTTCAATGGAATCAATAATACTTTGCATATGAAACACAGAACCCAGCAATACCACTGACAATACTGACCAATCACAGTGAATAAACAACAATTACATGTGAACGGACAAAGCAAGTTTTACTTCCTGTAATGATGATATTGATAGCTACATAATACAACAGTAGCAGAATAGCCTTATTATTTCCATTCTTTAAATTTTCTTATACATGTTATACGTATTTAAAAACCCATCCCGTGAAATCACAACAAATATAATACATGTTTTGGGGACAGAAAACGGGCTTTGACTGACCACGTGTTGCTCCTGACTACAAATGCCGTACTGGAAAAGAACCTTTCAATGTGATTGACCAGTATTATCGGGGTATTGTTGTATTCCGAGTTTCATATGCAAATTAGAAATGATTTCATTGATCCAATCAATGAGTAAAATGATAACCAGAACACAAAATTTTAGCATGCCCCATCAAGCAAACTGTCACGCTGTTTGTAAAATGATAATACTAGTATTCTAGATTTATTCAGAAGAGATCTATCATTGGAAAATTAGATCTGATGGTACACGTGTAGCAGAACTCTATAGTACGCAGATTTTGTTTTCGGCGCCCCCCCCCCCCCCCGCCTCCCTCACATGGAAAACTGTTGCTACATACTTGAATCAAGCTGTATTTGGATTCCTGTATATCAAATTATTATGCGAGTCTTGATGCTCAAAACTAATGCCTGTGAAGACTTGTTCTATTTTTTAAAAGCTAGAACTAGTCGTTGAATGAAGTTTTCAATTCAAGTTGTTAAGTTATCTTATATATAGTATATACTGCAAGTTCTTCCTACTTATGGGAATGCTTGTGCCATAGAATGAATGTTTAGTTATGTGTATACATTAGAAATTTGGATCCACCAATCAATGAACTCTCAATCGCATCATCTCGGGTCTTTCCGTCAGAGGTCGTAAAACTATTCGGAAAAGCCAATTCGTGTAGCGGAGTCAGCCGAGGATTGCCGATTGGAACTCTCTAGCATTCTCGCGCATGCGTAGCCTGGCGTATGTCCAGGGCATCCGGTTTAATCTCGCTTATATATTTACTGCGTGGACCTCAGGGTCCACGCAATCACATTAGATTGACTGAAGGATTGTATATTGCTTTACGTCTCATTCGAGAATTTTTGACACATATAAAAACCTCACCATATATCGGTGAAGGGCTTCAAAGTTTGACCTTTACTCGGCACTCAGGACCATTGAGCAGTGAGGGGTCTTAATCGTTCCAACGTCTGCCACTGAAACGTGACCTCGGTTTTAAAAGTCTCATCAGACTGAGTTTAAGTGAACAGTAAAAAATATATATATAAGAATATGTTTTAGTGAATTTTTATACTTGTTGTTTACTTTTAAAAGTAATATTAAGGACACATAAACACAAAAATAAAAGTGAATAAAACCTATCGTAAGGATGATCCAGATACCAGCGGCTCTCTCTCCTCACTCAGTGTCCAGTTTGCCCATGTTTTGTGTTTTGTAGTTATTTCAGTTGTTAAAAATCGATCATGGTCATAAAAAGAAGCTGATTACACAAAGATGCAGCAAAGTACAAATTTATTGTATTTAGTTTCGTCACGAGACAACAGTTTTCATTGGTGATAATTGATTTTTTTCCCAACAATTGTTGAGACGACTCATTTGTTATGATACTTAGAAACTATCATACCGTTCTATCCTGTACCTTTGAAATAAACACATTTATTGGAAAGTAAAAGACTTACCTTTACTGGTAATGGTTAATCTCGACCTTCAGTGTCGGTCAACGATTTAATACATGTAACTCATGAATACCTCATCAAAATTAAATTATTGAATACTAGTACTTAGAATCGTGTGTTGTAAATTAGGATTATCAACCTTTTTTCAATATCAACTTAAAAGTACTTAATTATGTGGGTTTTCCTTTTTGGTAAAGTGTCATTTTATAACGAAATATGAGAATTCCCAAGCTCCATTTCTTTGAGGAAGCCGATGTTTATGTTATCAAAACTTTACTTTTATGGAATGGAATCATTGTGTCAGATTTAGAAAAAAATTCATAGCTTAGATAACCGTATTACTAACGTTTACCATATAAATCTATATTTGAATGCTTAATGTAGAGCAGAACGTTTAAGGGTTTTTTGAGCAATATGGATAGCGGCTTGGAGGAGCAATTCCTTGATCAAGCAACTGATTTTAAGGATATTTTTTCGTACAACAATTTGGGACCAGAGATAGAAAGCATAGATAATATTCCTGTTCGATGACTGGGATGTTAATTGTATAAATGACTGACTCACAGTAACGTCATAATTAGAAGGTGAATAAATTTTAGTTTTAATTAGATTTAGAAGTTCCAAAAAAATCTCCAAAAAATACGACAGTAATAATGAACCTAACATAAGAGGCGATATTGTTAAATTTTAAGCATTGTCCGCTGAAGTCGTTTTACAATGGTTATGTAATATTTCAAATTCCTTTACAATGTCTGATTTCTGATTTAATGAAAACTTAGAGATGTATAAGTTTGCACATTGTTTTTTAATTTAGTTTTCTAATGTGGTTCTTTCCGTTCACGGTAGCTCAATAGGTAGAGCGCTCGCTTCGTGATCGAGAGGTCGTGAGTACCAACCTCGGTCGCGACTGACCTAAGTCGACAAGAAATGGGAAACAACTGTTCCTTCGCCATGCGCTCGGCAATTTGAAGTGAAAGTTGCGGTTCCTTCGGATGAGACCTTAAAAACCGAGGTCCCGTGTCACAGCAAACGTTGGCACGATAAAGATCCCCAACTGCTCAATGGCCCTGAGTGCCGAGTAAAGATCAAAATTTGAAGCCCTTCACTGGCATACGGTGACGTCTCCATATGAGTGAAAAATTCTCTAGAGGGACGTTAACAACATACAATTAATCTATAGATTTTGTGTCATTTTTATCGTCAAATTATCATCATTAGAAACTTTGAACAAAATTTAACTAATTCGGAAGTGATCTAGTTCTTCGTCAGAGACCAATGCTTCGCGTCAAATCCAGATTAAAGGATGGTTATTCATGGTCCTAACAGCTTTAATAAACATATCAATAAGGGCCTTCAGTGGTATGAAAATTAAACAAAATTGATGTTCATAGAAGTCCAGTATTATCTCAAACAGTCTGAATCATCCATAAGAGTTACACCTATATGCGCAACGCCCACGTAGTGTTAACCAGGAAGCATATGTTTGATACACTGGCCTGTCAGATCCCCGGAACTGAATCCCCCTTCAACACAATTTCAACGGTTTAGAAAGATCTATGCAGTAGATGTCGCAGCAGATAGGTCAACCTCCTATTCAGGGGTACATGATATCCATGAGAAACGGATGTCTTGCAGTAATTAGAGCAAGTGGAGGTCTCATTTAATAGTGATTATTTTATGTGAATTTTCATTTTGAGGATACATCATGTCCTTGACACTTTACTTTAAAGTCAGACGAGATACGTGAAATTTTCGCAACATCAACCTGAAACATTCATTATTAACCATGAATTAAAGAAATTATTTATTCTATGCATTTTTTTCCTTTTAACTTACCGTTCACGGTAGCATACTGGTAGTGTTCGCTTCGTGATCGGGAGGCCCGGGTTCGATTCTCGTTTGCGGCGCCGCGTCAAACCTAAGACGTAAACATAGGTAGCGACTGTTCCTTCGCCAAGCGCTCGGCATCATAAGGAAAAGTCACGGGTCTTTCGGATATGACCTTAAAACGTAGGTCCTGTGTCACGGTAGGAGCTGGCACAATAAAGAACCCTCACTGCTCGATGGCCTGAGTGCCGAGTATAGGTCTAAATTTGAAGCTCTTCACCGGCATCGGTGACGTCTCCATATGAGTGGAAAATTCTCGAGAGGGACGTTAAACAATATACAATCAATCAATCACTCCTTCTAACTTAAAATATGATAGGTGAAGAAGTTTGGTTCAGTGTTTATCTCTTTCAACTGACTTTGTCCTCAAGACAAATTATTTGCCCTGAGAAGGACGTTTACCTGCAAGCCGAAAGGTGATCAAGGGAAATAAAGGAAAGAAGAAATTAAAAAAAAATGTTGCTGGACAGGCTATTGAACATGGGATGCCTGAATCACAGGTCAGGTGCCCCAGCTCACTAACTAAAGCACTATATAGTAATAGATACATGTATGACATAATTATCTTAATGAATGTATTTTGCTTACAGTCCGATATGGTTGCATTTGCATTCATCTTTGATTGTGTTGTTGTTCTCAGTGAGTTATGAGTTGGCGATGCTATAGATGGCGTGGTAAGTATATTTGATGTCATAGTTGTTTGTGGAAATGTAGGAGGAGTTGACATTGTTGCACAATCTTGGATTGGTACTGTTGTCGTCGACATTGACTGTATTGAAGATGTTTGATTGCTGTATACCTGTGAAAAGTCTTTCAAATTTCTCCGAGACTGCACTGGATACAAATGCTTGAAAATTTTTCTTAGTGTAACATTTATAATATTTTAAAATAATGAAAAAAAAAAACAAATATCACCTTCAGAATAACAAGAATGAAAGCTATTCATTATTTTTCTTAATCTTTGAGAGAGCATTATTAATTTTCTAGAAAATTAAAGCATGAAGGATATGGAGATAACTAACAGTATTCTATCTCAAAAGTCCATTAAACAATACAAAATAGGAGTAGAGCAAACATAGACCTCAAAAACATCAGAGGTAGGATCAGGTGCCATGGAGAAGTAAGCATTCCCTGCCCACCGGTCACACCCGCCATGTGCTCCTTGTCATGATCATGAAATAACGGAAAAATCATGGTCATTTCAGTGTATAAATAAGGTACTAGCAACTGGTAAGAAAAACTTCAAAACGGTCAGCATTTGACTCAATGATAAATCGTATTTGCTGACAAGGTCGTTGTATCGAACATATAGAGCTTACCAAATGATTACTTTGAACGAGACTGCTGAATTCTTGTTTCATCAACTTGTTTGTCCATATTTTACCTCATTTTAGAAATTGTTCATATGTAGAGCATGCTCCTGCGTATTGAATCAACTGAGATATATATACTCCATATGCAGGTGATGAAGATATGTTGCTGCATAAGCAAGCGAAGTTGACGATAGAAAAGTAAAAGTCACCACGTTTATCATTGACCTTAGTTGTTAGATTACAATTAATGTCTTTTCAAGTAAAATATCCAAGTATGAAACAGATGTAACGCTACACAGGATGTATCCTATCAATATAAGAATGGAAATTACCATTATTAATTGATAGTACTTCATCAGTACATCTAAATGTGGAAGTGAAGGCCACAGGAAGTTTTTCTTCTTTCATGCATAATATTTTGCAAAAATTCTGCTTCTTATGAATACAAAAATAGGAATGAAAATAATCATTGTTAATTGACAGTAGGTCATCAATACATGTATATCTAAATGTCCAGTTGAAGGCTACAGCAAGTGTTTTCTTCTTTTCATGCATAAGATTTTGTACAAAGTCTGCTTCTTACAAAATAGGTCAGCTAATAACAGAGCGCAATTGGTACCAATTGGGATTCCAGTAGATTGTTGAAAGACCTGGTCTCCAAAAACCACATAGATTTTGTCAGAAATTCAAGCATCTTCTTGATGTAATCATTAAAGTACTTATGTTTGCAATCAGAATGTATTTTAACAAAATATATTTAAAAAAGCAGCTGTCAATGATATCAAAAAGCCTGGCCTTTGATATATCGTTGGGAATGGTTGTGTATGATATTGAAAAAGCTGCATGTTAGATATAAAGATGTTATTAAAAGTTAAAAATTATCCATGCAGGAATATTGCGTAAAAATAAAGGGAAATTCCAAATGAGGAAAAAAGTCAAATTGCAATACCACAGCGAAAGCATTTGCCTTAGATTTAATTCGTGACGATGTAACGAATGATCATGAGTCATTGTAAGTATAGAATAGCATAAAGGCTGGGACTTATCTAAACAGAATTTTAACAATTAAAAATGTTTATTGAGAAGCCGGTCCCCACCTCCCCTTTTTGTTCCACTTTATTCAAATAATGGTACTGTTTTAGTGTATGAAAAAAATTGGTATTGAAAAAGTTGGACCCTCAACACCCACACCCACCACCACTTCACCTCTCGGAAGAAAAAGAAAACTTTGAAGTTGAGACAATTTTTACCTTTTTTCATTTCTTTTAATTTTTGCTTGTCATGTTATTTTTAAGGTGAAGTTGATTTTTTCTCTTACTTGCCCCCCTCCATAAACGATGCAACGTCCCGGTTACATATATTTTTACACTAATTGTAGGGCCATTATATACACACTGACTTTTCGAGGGATTTTTTCGTTATGTCTTGATCATGACTTGTTGGTAGGGGATGCTCTGATATCCATGGCACCTGATCCCACCTGTTTTTTTTTGTTTTTTTTTTGGGGGGGGGGTCTGTGTTTGCTGTATTCTGTATTGTTTAAGAGGAGATAGGGCACATGTCACATGACTCGAAAGACAGACCAAAGTCGCTGAAGATGTACACGTTAAACGTTGTTAAAATCAACAGTTATGTAGCTTTATTAAAAAAATGTTTTGTTTAAACATTTATTATAAAAAAAAATATTCAATAATTATAAAAGATATAGCCAACACTTAGATAATGTGAAAGGAGATCATAAAATTCTTACTTACCAGAATATCTTGTAGATCTATACGGCTGAATATTCTACTTCCTTCGCCTGTAGTTGTCATGGTCTTCAACTGCAGCGTTATGCCCCTTTCTAACATGCTCAAATTACTAAATGCATTGCCATGTTCAAAAATTGTCATTTTATAAACCTGTTTCCAAACATTAGTTTCATATTTAGCCCTCTCTTTATAGGAATAACTTTTTATCCTGATTTTACAGCGTCTTTGAATAAAATCTTTTTGAAAAGGGCTATTTTCGCAATAAAGTGAGGAATGGGCGGGGATATAAGCAATCACAGAGAGATCATTGGCTTCCGTATAATGACCGTTAAACATGAAATTTGAATCTGCGTAAGGTATTGTTAATTGCAGGTGAATGTTGGCTTTCCCTCCTAGGTCTATAAAAAGTTGTGGAGTTAATACCTAGAAGGAAACATACACATTAAAGCATAAGCAAGCTTAACTTCAATCACGTATAAATATGAGTTATAAACTCATATTTTATAACGGCATAATTATCCATTTAAAACATAACTTTGAGAACTAAACAACGGATAATAGTCTTGTTCTGGTTTTTGAAAAGAAGATAACATACAGATATAGATTTTAATGGCAAATGATATTTTTTTAGATTATGATAATTTTTCACTTATTTCGACTAGTATGCTTAATCAATAAAAAAAGACATACTTGTCTGCCCTTCACAAAAATATCATATTGGCGATTTTAAATTGCAAACATCATTTTTTTTTATCACATAATGTAATTTAAGCACTTATTTTGAAAGGTCCTAAATTTAGGGAACATAGATCTTATATTTACATCAACTGAATATGTTTCCCTATAAAAGGCAGTATAAAATATCTATCCTTCTGTATTCAATAATTTAGAAGTGAAGAAAAATTAAATATTAGATTACACGATCAGTACACACCCATCATCTGACAAAGTAGGTGCATTGTACATGTAACAAAATTGTCTTTTTTTGTAAGGCTTATTATGTTTATTTTCGAGTTCCATTTTTATTGAAAAGCTTCACCGTTCTAAAGGACGTCGGAAAGCTTTGATTTTAATTTATTGTGAGAAATTGTTGTATACATGTATAAAGTTGAAAGTCGTAGATTTTTATGTTGTTGGTTTTTGTAAAAAAATGTGATTTCAAACGTTCTAAAAGTTTCATGGAGTTCTTTTAAATAGTCATATCTAATTTACATCACTTCTTGTACAGTATATTTCTTACACAGTACGTACTCTTGAAGTTTCTTCTTTACTACCATTTAATATCATTTCAGTGAGGAGTAATGAAAGAGGCTTGATAGAACATTAACTGGAACCCGCTGTGTAAAGAGCTCGGGTTCACTTTATGCATAAAATGGCCCTGTAGATATACCAATTGATTGATTAACATTTGATGTTTTATTTGAAGCATTAAAATAAAATAGAGACTTGGTGCTTTCATTTCCTTTTTTTAAAAAAAATTCACCTAAAAGTCCAAGTCTTCTAGAATTGGCTTTGTGAAATTGCAATGTTATTGAATCTTAAGGTAAACAGGTATAATTGAGTACTTTCAGTGAAGAAAAATAATATAAGCACACTCTCTGATCTAAAAAAACAAAACATGTCTTGTAATCATCATAGAAGTACTAGTTGCTTTTTAAGATCTGAGGTGGCACTCTATTAAATATAAAAAAATAATTTTAGAAATTGCAAGACTGTTTTCGTATATTTTTTAGAATATGGGGAAATTAATGAATTTCGTGATGTCAAAATGTATTCACTAAACAGAAAATTCAGTCATTTTTTATAGATACACAGTAGACAAAGATTTTAGTGATATTCAATGCATTGACAACTAAAACAGTTTCAGTTTTTCAGAAATTCACAGAGCCAAATAAGGCAAACGAAAACCTTGTTCTTTATTTTTAAGGATTGTTTTGGAATCCGATATTGATATAATAATCCAAATGCATTTTGGTTGCTTTGAATATAAAAAATATTCATAAATGACATATGGTATTGATTACAGTATTTTGCATTCAGAAGACAATCAAGAAAAATATTTAAATTTAATGAATGTTAAGCTTAATTTATTTCAATAAATATGTAGTTAATTAAGGCAAGAAGTCTTAAAATATACATAAATATTTTTTTTATAAATCAAATCTAAATAGCATCTTACTTTAATGCCAGCAAAAAAGGGTTGACTTGCATTAGTAACACAAGGAGAGCCATTTGCAGTTAATTTGATTCCAACGACACATTGAATCTAAAAAAAAATCTTCCTTCTTTAGCACAGGTTTTCAACCAAATCAGAAACCTTACGATTATATCATTTTTAAAGACAAAACTGAGAATGGAAATTTTGTTATACTAACCATTAATCCTGCTGTTTTGTTATTCTCTAAAATTGTCATGACAGGCAACAGGGCATTCTCCATTGTACTGAGGTTTACAGTTTGACCTTTTATTACTTCAATATCGTCAACGTACCATGAAATGTCATAAAACAATGATTCATCAGTCAATGGCGTAAATCTACATATAAAATTTAAACGAGGGTCATATCGTGATATATTCCCTCTAGTCTCAATAACCCAAGATATGTTGTAGTTTTCAACAGAAGGGTCCATTGACGCATCTGATTTACCTAAAAGAATTATACAAATGGTGTCAGAAAATATTATACATTTATTGACTGAGTTCGAGGACAACATGTGTTTTGTCGGACCGAAGAACCAAACTGTCTGCCTGAGACCGAAATGCCGAAGGCGGACAGTTTGGTTCGAGGGTCGGCAAACGCATTCTGCCCTCGAACTCAGTCAATTAATGTTTTGTTATACCTTTCATTTTATTTCATTATATTTTATATACATGTATTATGTACTGTCTTCCGTCATATAACATCAGGTCCGTCACTGATGAACACCAACGTATGAAAATGAGATTAAGCGCCGCCCATGCTGTGACGTAAGCGGCTCTACATCTCACTGGCTGGTCCAACATCTCACGCAGCGGTCAAACATCATGTTTTTATGCCCAGTCAGCAAAACATTGGAGATGTCAGACTTTTTTCGTAAAGATTTGTATACAAACTATTTTTTCAAGGTATAACAATCTTTTAACAACAATCTTAAATACAAACCGTATATGAGCTATTGTAAAAATATATATCTTTGAATTTTTTCCCAGCTTTTTTTTTTAAATTCAATTTAAAATAGTAACAGTTTTATTGATATAAAGAACTTAACTTTTACATGAATGTGATATATCAAATAAAAAAAAATTTTCTTACATCCTGTAGGCGATTCTAAAAAAAGAGAGAGAAAATCATCGTGAACTATGGAATGCCATATACGACAGCCAACTGCTTACTGCCAACTGCTGACTGCTTACTGCCAACTGCCACGCATATCTGAATAAATTTTATTTTTATTTTGATATTTATGTTAATCTAAAAAAAAAAAACAGGCTTGGATCTAGGACATTTTTTCCATGAGGGTCACTCATTTTAAAAAAAAATCTAACCCAGAAATTTCTTGACAAGAAAAAAAAAACGTAAATTCCTTTCCTTTATGTGAAAATTTATTTCGGCTGCATGGGTAGAGGGGTGTCTTATGCGTCATACCTTCATGTCTATAACAGTTTTTATACCAACTTAACACGAATCCGCATTTTCGGAGGGGGGGGGGGGTTCTAAGGTCCCTTTTAGTTGATTTATTTTATACAATAAATAACTTTTAGTTGGTTTCGTTTGTGCATTAAATAACTTTACAAATTTTAGAGGGATGGTCCTGACCTCTCTCTTTAGATTTATACATGTAAAACATATCTTATTTGTTAAAACAAAGAGATATAAATGTTTGATCGGCGTTTTCTTAGTGGAAGGTCCAAGGTCAGTTTTAGTTCCTTTAGTTTATACATAAACCCATGACTGTACAAATTTTAAATGCCCCCCCCCCCGATCTCTGCATGTGAAACGTTATAACACAGAAATATACATCTTTAGTTTGAGGAAATTTTAACTATAGAATAAATTGAAAATGTAAAATTATTTTTGAAAACATCTTTATCTGCGAAACGACAAATCGTTTTTTTAGCTCACCTGAGCCGAAGGCTGTGGAAGCATCCTTGGGTAGTGCAGATATTAAATTGATAAAACCATGACCCCTTGGGGTAGGGCGGGGCCACAATAGGGAATCCAAGTTTTACATAGAAATATATAGAACAAATCTTCAAAAATCTTCTTTTCAAGAACCACTGGGCCAGGAAAGCTGAAACTTATGTGGAAGCATCCTTGGGTAGTGTGATATTAAATTGTTAAAACCATGACCCCTGGGGGTAGGGCGGGGCCACAATAGGGAATCCAAGTTTTACATAGAAATAGATATCGAACAAATCTGTAAAAATCTTCTGCTCAAGAACCACTGGGCCAGGAAAGCTGAAACTTAAGTGGAAGCATCATGGGGTAGTGTAGATACATGTATTAAATTGTTAAAATCATGACCCCCGGGGGTAGGGCGGGGCCACAATAGGGAATCCAAATTTTACATAGAAAATATATAGAACAAATCTTTAAAAATCTTCTTCTCAAGAACCACTGGGCCAGGAAAGCTAAAACTTATGTGGTAGCATCCTTAGGTAGTGTAGATATTAAATTGTTAAAATCATGACCCCTGGGGGTAGGACAGGGCCACAATAGGGAATCCAAATTTTACATAGAAATATATAGAACAAATCTTTAAAAATCTTCTTCTCAAGAACACTGGGCCAGGAGAGCTGAATCTTATGTGGAAGCATCCTGGGGTAGTGTAGATTCTGAAGTTTTAAAATCATAAAAGGGAAGGGGGTAGTGGGCATGATAGGTATAACAAGAGGGGGAATCTGGTAAAATAACTGCATCACCCAAGTTACTCAGGTGAGCGATGTGGCCCATGGGCCTCTTGTTTAATTTTCTCTCTTCAGGCTTTGTCTCCGAGGGGGGGGGGTTAATTCTTTAAAGATTAAAAGCAGAAAATAAAATAAACAATGTACTTTATCAATGACATATATAGAATAATACGTAAGATAGAACATAATGGTCATTTAGTCAATTTAATTTTACCAGGGTGACCTCTTGGAAAAAATGCCCTGGATCCGCGCCTGCTTTTTCTTCTTCTTTTTTTGAAAATTCATATAAATATCAATATAAATATAAAATTTATTCAAATATGTGTGGCATTTGGCAGTACGTAGCTGACAGTTGGCAGTAAGCAGTCAGCAGTTGGCAGTAAGCAGTTGGCTGTCGTGTATGGCATTCCATAGTGAACTTTTATAAATCTTTGTTGAAGTTACCTCAATTAAGTAAAAAGTTTTAAGTGTGAAGCCTTCCTTACTTTTTCAAAGATTAATATTTATATAATCATAAGATGAAAAAAATTAATATGGTAAATTGAAAGATCAACGATTTTTTTTATCTCACAATAAAATTAAGAAATACAAAGTATATATGAAATATAACATTTACTATCATACCTAGCTACTTCACATAATGAAAAAAAATAACGAAGCATTGCTTTTTAAGGGGGCCGACTATAGTTTTATTGTGTGAAAACTACAATAGTGAAACTCATCATTTTTATATCATATATTACTTACATTAACTTCAGTGTTCATGCAAAGTTTGGGGAAAATCTACCGTCCAGGTATTTTTGAGGGACCGTCTCAAAATACAGGTACATTTACTATAGGATTATATAGGAAATTGCCAATTTTTAGCACTTTAAAGCAAATTATACAAATACTACAATAGACATTTTGTTTAAACTATAATATTTGATGAGTAATACTATATGATACAATATATGTAAGAAACACAAAATTCTACCGTCTTGTTAAGAGAGGGGCATCTCAAAATGCCAAAAATTAGCAAATTTTACTATTTTTATAGAGTACTACAAAATATGACGTAAACAATGGATTCACAAGAAAACGTAATAAAAATATTGGAGATATTCTTATCTTTATTACTTTTTCTGTAATAATATTTTTATTACCCCTTTCTTTAAGAGCCTCAGATTACCATAACGTCAAAAAGACACAGCAGCCACGTCAACCTACCTATCAATTGCAAAATCGGTTAAATAATCAGTTATATCAAATTGCAATTACATTTTTATACCTATAATTTCTTAATTTTGTTTAATTTTCATAATTAAGTGAAAAACTGTTTAAATAAATACGCTTCATTTTACTATGATGCGCGAAATATTGCGCAATGGAAACTATAGTCGGCCCCCTTAAATCAGAAAATCGTTTTGTTTTCTGTGCTTATAATTGTAAAAAGGAAAACTTATCTTTCCTTTATAGTTCTTGGTAAAAGCTGCTATGAAAGTTACCAAAGCAATACGCGGAGTTACAGCAATCTACAGGGGGTAAACGATAAACCATGTACGTGCTGCAGTTTTTTACGCTGATGTGTATAACTTGAGTACAAGGTTTTGCAATCCCAACCCTACAAACTTCAACGTTATCCATCACATAACTTGATGGATGGTCACCTAAAGAAAGAAGCATTTTTAAACATGTATCTATTTAAGAAACATGAAACAATACAAAAGTGAAACAGTTCCTATTAATCAATTTGAAAAATTCAATGTTAATTAATTATTCTCCTGGTTCTTTACGTATTTTTTGAAAGCGTTAACATGTATATCATTTTCAGCTAAAAAGTGGAAATATATTTTCTAATTGGGAACAATCGCAGTTAGTAATTTTTTAAACTTCATCAATTGAGAAAAAAAATTTTCACATGTGTAGATTTTAGCTATCATTAGCTCACCTGAGCCGAAGGCTCAAGTGAGCTTTTCTGATCAAAATTTGTCCGTTGTCTGTCGTCGTTGTTGTCGTTGTCGTTGTTGTCGTCGTAAACTTTTCACATTTTCATCTTCTTCTTAAGAACCACTGGGCCAATTTCAATTAAACTTACCGCAAAGTATACTTAGGTGAAGGGGATTCAAGTTTGTTCAAATGAAGGGCTACGCCCTCTTCCAAGGGGAGATAATTATGAATTAGTGATAAATTAATGGCATTTTTAATTTTTCTTCTCCAGAACCGCTGGGCCAGGAAAGATGAAACTCGTGTGGAATCATCCTCAGGTAGTGTAGATTCACGTTTGTTCAAATCATGACCCCTGGGGCTAAGGTGGGGCCAAAATGGCCGACCCAAGATTTACATAGGAATATACAGTATAGGAAAAATCTTTAAAAAACTTCTTCTCCAGAACCACTGGGCCAGGAAAGATAAAACTCATGTGGAATCATCCTCAGGTAGTGTAGATTCAAGTTTGTTCAAATCATGACCCCCGGGGCAAAGGTGGAGCCAAAATGGCCGACCCAAGTTTTACATAGGAATATATAGGAAAAATCTTTAAAAATCTTCTTCTCCAGAACCACTGGGCCAGGAAAGATGAAACTCATGTGGAATCATCCTCAGGTAGTGTAGATTCAAATTTGTTCAAATCATGACCCCCGGGGCAAGGGTGGGGCCAAAATGGCTGACCCAAGTTTTACATAGGAATATATAGGAAAAATCTTTAAAAATCTTCTTCTCCAGAACCACTGGTCCAGGAAAGATGAAACTCATGTGGAATCATTCTCAGGTAGTGTAGATTCAAGTTTGTTCAAATCATGACCCCCGGGGCTATGGTGGGGCCAAAATGGCCGACCCAAGTTTTACATAGGAATATATAGGAAAAATCATTAAAAATCTTCTTCTCAAGAACCACTGGGCCAGGAAAGATGAAACTCATGTGGAATCATTCTCAGGTAGTGTAGATTCAAGTTTGTTCAAATCATGACCCCCGGGGCTAGGGTGGGGCCAAAATGGCCGACCCAAGTTTTACATAGGGATATATAGGGAAACCTTTTAAAATCTTCTTTTCAAGTACTTCAAAGCTATGATTAGTGATATTTATATGGAATCATCCTCAGGTAGTGTAGATTCTAGTTTGTTCAAATAATGAATGCCTGGAGGGGTGGGGGTAAATTCAAGCCCGATGTGCTCAGGTGAGCGCTGTGGCACCTGGGCCTCTTGTTACATATACATGTATGTGGTTTATAGCTTCGGAGCTGAATGTTTTAAAGAGTCAAATGAATATTTGAAGTTGTCGTACGTTTTTGAGGAGTCAGAAAAGTATTTATAAATAACAATCATATAGAATAAAATAAAGAGTGTCTAAATATTAAATAAAAACGCATAATATGTAATTGAATAAATAATTGGTAAAATGTTTTATCTGATCAAATCACTGAAGTGCGAAGTCTTTTTAGCACCCGTTTCTGTTTCTTTATTTTGTTGCTTTTAGATGTGTATTACTTTATCTACTCTTTTTATTGTCACCTTTCAACCAGTAAGGATAATAAGTCCCACAAGATCCAAGATCAGGTGGAGATGTTGGCATTTTAAGGTAGCCTGCCCTGTACCAGCCAGTAGTCAGGTTATTGTCACAGAGAGGCATGGCATCCTGTTTGTAGTATGGACTTCTTTTCAATAGGTCGGAGATTTCACTGTATTCTGTACAAGGGTCCTCCTGGTCTGAATTATTTAAGGAATGAAGCTTATTTTAACCTATTATACATGAATTATAATTATAACATAACTTGAGGACGTTTACGTTTTATCAATTGCGAAGCGGTTTATTAAAATGTGTAAACTGCCAAAATTAATGGTATATCGTTTTAAATAGGTTAAATAGGCTTCATTCCTTGTAATTTAATTTAAGTGTCGACAATAAGACAATTTGTTTTAAAATGGCCTAAAATTGAACATATTTTAAAGTTCCATCAAGCGGACTAATACGTTTTTAACGTAACTTAATTGTGGCGTAGACAACTAATGTTAATACTGTAACAATATAAAGCAAATGTTTTATCTAATTAAATGACGATTTACAAGTAAACTATTACTATAATTTTTATAGAATGATCTTTGATGGTGTATAACAATTTGAAATAAATTTAAAGCATTGAGGTTGAATATAAATTAAGCTGTGAGTTACTTTTACAAACAGTTCAAGACTTCTTTTTTCCAAAATACCTTACGATCAGTAATTGTCGTAATCTATCGTTTTATGTTTGTGAATAGATGTTCAGTCAGGTTTTTTACCTTATAATCATGAAGGAAATTCACCTGGTGTTCATTGCATTTTACATGTATCATCCATTTTTAGCTCACCTGAGCCGAAGGCTCAAGTGAGCTTTTCTGATCAAAATTTGTCCGTTGTCTGTCGTCGTTGTCGTTGTCGTCGTTGTCGCCGTTGTCGTAAACTTTTCACATTTTCATCTTCTTCTCAAGAACCACTGGGCCAATTTCAACCAAACTTGGCACAAAGTATCCTTGGGTGAATGGAATTCAAGTTTGTTCAAATGAAGGGCCACGCCCTTTTCCAAGGGGAGATAATCATGAATTAGGTAGAGGAGATTTAAGTTTGTTCAAATCATGACCCCCGGGGCAAAGGTGAGGCCAAAATGGCCGACCCAAGTTTTACATAGGAATATATAGGAAAAATCTTTAAAAATCTTCTTCTCCAGAACCACTGGGCCAGGAAAGATGAAACTCATGTGAAATCATCCTCAGGTAGTGTAGATTCAAGTTTGTTCAAATCTTGACCTCCGGGGCAAGGATGGGGCCGAAATGGCCGACCCTAGTTTTACATAGGAATATATAAGAAAAATCTTTAAAAATCTTCTTCTCCAGAACCACTAGGACAGGAAAAATGAAACTCATGTGGAATCATCCTCAGGTAGTGTAGATTCAAGTTTGTTCAAATCATGACCCCTGGGGCAAGGGTGGGGCCAAAATGGCCGACCCAAGTTTTACATGGGAATATATAGGAAAATTTTTTTAAAATCTTCTTCTCCAGAACCACTGGGCCAGGAAAGATAAAACTCATGTGGAATCATCCTCAGGTAGTGCAGATTCAAGTTTGTTCAAATCATGACCCCCGGGGGTGGGGAAGGGTGGGGCCAAAATGGCCGATCAAAGTTTTACATAGGAATATATAGGAAAAATCTTTAAAAATCTTCTTCTCAAGAACCACTGGGCTAGGAAAGATGAAACTCATGTGGAATCATCCTCCGGTAGAGGAGATTTAAGTTTGTTCAAATCATGACCCCCGGGGCTAGGGTGGGGCCAAAATGGCCGACCCAAGTTTTACATACGTATATATAGGGAAACCTTTTAAAATCTTCTTTACAAGTACTTCAAAGCTATGATTAGTGATATTTATATGGAATCATCCTCAGGTAATGTAGATTCTAGTTTGTTCAAATGATGAACGCCTGGAGGGGGGGAGTAAATTCAAGCCTGATGTGCTCAGGTGAGCGCTGTGGCCCCTGGGCCTCTTGTTTTTTATATTTTGCAAAAAAAATAAAAAAAAAACAGAGCAGAGTAGACTCATGCATGGAGAGAATAAATTATTTGAGGAAGTTTGAAGACCATGGTATAAATGAAATTTTAAAAATTGTATTTTAGAATGTAAGGTGAATGTTTTATTTGTTCTTGATAAACTGTTTGATAATCTTCATCAATTTAGGTATTGCATAGAATTTTCAAAAAGATGACAATTCAAGAATAAAGGGAAAGATATTGACTTGTTTGATTTACTTACAACTTTCCTGAATAAACCTGACGGCGTTAAGGATGAGGAAATAAAGCATTTTCATTCTCAGAAATATCTGCAAAAAATTGTTTTAAAGATATGTATATTTTAAACAAATTCACCCTTCACCCGGATTGTACAAATATCCATGCTTAGAAAGGTCAGACTTTTATGAAAGTTTGAACTTGATGAAATTTTCCAGTATCGTTGAATAGTGGTTTTATACATACAGGTGAACTTTGGTATCTCAAACTCCGATATCTCGAATACTTTGGAAATATCGGATTTTTTTTCCTACGCAGTTATGTTAAGGACTCCATTAGGTACCTCAGGTTATGCAGAGCTTTGCGAATTCAATTATGAGGTCACGATTAAACTGTGCAAATGAATCTCGGCGAATAATTAAATACTTATTTCCTTTTTCATACACCTTCACATGCATGTTTATCAGAAGAAGGCTAAATTTTATATTATTCCCGGGCATGATGAATTTGCTCCTAGTACTTTTTGGGTTAAGAAATTCGTCCTAAACAAAACATAATCAATTACATAGTAAACAATTAGTCGCCCATCGTTGAACTTTTACGATTTTTTTTCCGTACATTTTTTTTCTAACTTTAAACATGTCACGTGACAAACAACTGGTGTAAGTGAAGTCGCTTTGGACGAACTTGGCAGAGACCCCATACATGCATATGCAATGAATTCCAATTTGATAAAAACTCATGCTAGTAAAAATAATATCAACATTATATTGATTTTCACAGAATATTTTTAAATGTAGTTCCTATTTGCGGCCTTAACCTAGCTGCGTAGCCCTATCAGAGTTTGAGATAACGAAGTTCGACTGTATGCCAATTGTTTGCTTTCATTAAATTACGATAAAATTGTTGTAAGAAATTCCAAGAAACTTTCGATCAACATTCGTTTATGCAAAGTTTGACACTTTTATAAAAATCATGCAAATCAAACCATCAAATAAAATTAAAATAGGCAATAACTTGGGTTCCCAATATTACATTAAAATGTAATTAATCGCAACAAAAAAAATAATAATAATCGTCGATATTTTCATTGCATACCTTCACTGTACTGCTTATTATTTGCAATAAAAAATTCTGAAACTGGGATAAACGCACGGTTCAGTGGACAAAATATGAGAAGACATTGACTAAAAGAAAGAAGGTAGACTTCATAAACACTAAAATCCTAGCTTCCCGGCGCTAAAAAGATTATGCATAACCAACATGGTATTCAAATCTGACAGATATTTTTGGCCATTATTTTTTTAAAGAATAAAATATAAGGTTAGTATTCTCTTTGATATGTTAAAAAATAAACTTTCAAAACTAACATATTAGAAATATTAAAAATAAATTAATAAAAAAGGAGAACACTTTACCTCATGTCCTCAACCAGGAATATTAAATGATTTTTTAACTTCCGCCTCACCGTGTAATACGAGATACAATAAACAAATTGCAATGTTTCTTGTATGTGTCAAATGAAATCATTTCATGCACCATTTTATCTCTTTAGAAGAAAAGCAGATACGGTCGTTGGCAGTTATGCTTTCTGTTTAATCTAGTTCATAAATTTGAATAAATATTTTTTAGATCAAATATGGTCGTATAATGAGAAACCTGAAAAATGACATAACCTTATTTGTTTATGGTGCATTTTAGCTACATTGTACATCTGCATATACCGTGTCATTATTTTTTAAAATCTATTAATAAGGAAGTTATAAGGTTTTTTTTCTTTCTTACAAATTACATTCAAAATATTGTTAGAAAAGTTCGCGGACAAGTCCTACTGTGAGCGCCCTCTTTTAATGAAACCAATAAAACTCCTAAGATAAAAGAATTACATATTTTTCAATTAATAAACAACGATTTCGTGTTTCCCGATGATCCTTAAAAAATATACAGCTATTTTATTTTGATAAAACATGCTTAACGGAGCATGCTTCGTTTTCGCACGTTCACTTTACATAGACATTTTAATGATATTAAAAATTGCACAGTTGTAGCGCAAAAAAATTAATGATATTTTGCCCGTCGCTTGATTATTCATGAAACGTCACTTGGTGAAATTTTGAATTTAATTGGAGGGTATATGACTGTTTTATAACAAATTATAAATAATCAACGCGTAAAAATTAAGTCATTGAACGTCATAGAGCACAGAGCTACTTAAAATTATGTGTGCATACAGGAAAATGTCGAATAAGAGACTAAAATGCTGCTGAAATTGCCTTACGTACACAGAACAAAAGTATTCGAAAGGTAGCAGCTTTATAAAAATGGAAGGATTAACATTTTCAATAATCAACTCCTGCAATACCGCATCACCCTGCTTATTGCATGGACGTTGCGCCAAGGGATTTTGCATTGATTTCATACCTAATCCTTTAACTGCGCTGCAGAAGGATAAAACGTACGCTCAACTAGGACCTTAGGTCCCCTGCTCAGTTCACGACTATCGGACCTGTTTACTCCGCTACAAAATGTAGTGCGTTGCATACGTAAAGTGAAAATAGAATAAATCGTAGTAGTTTTAATCCTTTACAGTGTAAAAAAAACAGAAGATTTATTTTTGTCAAAGGAGTAACCATCTGATGGGTATTAGAATAAAAGAGGGGGGGGGGGGGTAGGGGGACCAGAGGTCACCTTATATTGTACATGTGTAGGGGGACCAGAGGTCACCTTATATATTTTACATCAGCAGGGAGACCAGAGGTCACCTTATACTGTACATCAATAAGGGGAACAGAGGTAATCTTATATTGAACATAAGTAGGGGGACCAGAGGACACCGCATATTGTACATAAGTAGGGAGACTAGGAGTCACCTTATATTGTACGTTAGTAGGGGATCCAGAGGTCACCTTGTATTGTATATCAATAGGGGGACCAGAGGTCACTTTATATTGTGCATCAGTAGGGAGACGAGAGGTCACCTTATATTGTACATTTGTAGAGGGGACCAGGGGTCACCTTATATTTTACATCAGCAGGGAGACCAGAGGTCACCTTATACTGTACATCAGTAGGGAGACCAGAGGTCACCTTATACTGTACATCAGTAGAGGGACCAGAGGTTTCCTTATATTGTATCAGGAAGAGGACTAAAGGTCACTTTATATTGTACATCAAAAGGGAGACCAGATGTCATCTTCTGTTCTACATCATATGAGGGACCAGAGGCAACCTTATACATCAGTTTGGGGACCAGAGATCACCTTATATTGTACATCAGTAGGGGGACCAGAGGTCACCTTAAATTGTACATCAGTTTGGGGACCAGGAGTCACGTTATATTGTACATCAGTAGGGGGACCATAGGTAATTTTATATTGAACATCAGTAGGGGGACCAGAGGACAGCATATATTGTACAATTGTAGGGGGACCAGGGGTTACATGATATTTTTCATCAATAGGGAGACCTGAGGTCACCTTATACTGTACATTAGTAGAGGGACCAGAGGTCACCTTATATTGTACATCAGTAGGGGAACCAGAGGTCACCTTGTATTGTACATCCGTAGCAGGACCAAAGGACACCTTATATTGTACATAAGTAGGGGGACCAGGGGTCACCTTATATTGTACATCAGTAGAGGGACTAGAGGTCACTTTATATTGTACATCAGTAAGAGGACCAGGGGACACCTTATAAATGTACATCAGTAGGGGGACGAGAGGTCACCTTATATTGTACATGAGGAGGGGGGCATAGGTCATCTTATATTGATCATCAGTAGGGGGACCAGAGGACACCTTATATTGCACTTCACATCAATGGGGGGGGGGCAGAGGAACCTTATACTAGTATCGTACATCAGTAGGGGGACTAGAGGTTACCTTATATTGTACATAAGAAGGGGGACCAGAGGCTTCAGATCAGTTTTACGTTCGTCACTTGATGGACCAGAGGTTAACTATTATTGTACATCAATAGGTTGTTCTAAGGTCACCATATATTTTATTTCATTAATGAGAGTAAAGGTCAACTTTATATTGTACAACAGAAAGGGGACCAGAGGTCACCTTATACTGTATAAGACCAAACGTCAGATCATATTGTACATCAAAAGGGGAAACAGAGGTCACCTTATACATCAATAGGGGCTCAGAGGTCACTCTATGTTTTAGATCATTATGGGGATCTAAGGTCACTTTACATTTTACAACACAAAGGGGACCAGAAGTCACCTTGTATTGTACATAAATATGAGACCTGTTGTCCCCTTTGTTGTACATTTTCAAGGAAACCAGGCATAAAATAAAATTTATATGAATGCAGAGATAAGGCATCAAGGATTCTTCTAGACCCATCATAACCAAGAGACAACTAAAAAGATAATGAGGACGGACCAGAGGTTACAGATAAAATGCATATTAACGGGATACAAGGGGTTCTCTTATAAGAACATGACAAGAGGCCTATGGGTCTAATAGGTCATCTGAACATCATGTAAAAACTTTAAAACAATTGAATTTGATTGGCACTTTGAACCAGAGGCCATGACATTCGCAATTTTGAGAAAAAAGCACCATTGCTCATCATAACTATATACTTAGCATGCTTAGTTTGGCTACTTAATACCTATATAGAGCGTAGGGGAACAAAAAGTGCATTTCAAATAATCTATAATAATCAGCAATAATGAGTAGTGCCCATTTATCACAAAAACCCTTACCCTGTGGTCATACATTTCACAATTTTGGAAAAGACACACTTGTTCATAAAAAAAATGGTTTATACCAAAGAACATTTCAAAGCAGTAATTCAATTACAGTATTTAATTAGAGCCCCCACCCTTCAATGGTACCCATGAGCAAGGGGCCTTGAAATTTATAATTCTGGAAGAGGCTGCCTTGCTTATCATAACTATATGCAGTTAGTTTAATTAATATCCAGGTGCAGAGAGGAAGATTTTTAAAAGAATTACTGAATTTTAACTTTACAGTATACAGAACCTCTGACCTTTGGGTCACTAATTTCAAAACTTTGGAGAGAATATCCTTCCTCATCATATCTATGCATGCAGTTCGTTTGTTTAATATCCAGGGGCAGAGAGAGATTTTCAAAGAATAAATGCATTTCACGATATAATTTTTTATAGCCCTGTCCTGTTCCCAGGGCCCCTGACCCTGGGACAATGAATTTCACAAATCTGGTAGATGAGTCAATGCTTATAATAATTATGCCAACAGTTTGACGGCTTGATGTCAATGAGTAAAGACGATTTTTAAAGATTTCATCAATTGTAGCAGTTTCGCCCCAACTTTCTTGCCTTAGGGTGTGGAGGGCAGGGACCATGATTTAAAAAATCTCCCCTTCACCCATAGATGCTTTATGCTAAAATTGGTTGTAAATGGTTGAGGGATTGCAGAGAAAAGCTGAAAATGTTAAAATGCTTACGCACAATGCACAGCGCACGACGCCGGAAAAAAACCCAGGCAATAAGTCACATGAGTTGATTCAGGTGAACAAATAAGGAGTACTTTGGTCTCAATACTTATGTAAAATATAAGGTGTCTTCTGGTCTCCCTGTTGACTTACAATATTAGATGACCTCTGGTCATCTTATTGATGTAAAATATAAAGTGTCTTCGGGTTTCTTTATTGTCGTTCAGAATAGTGTGATCATTAATTTTAATGATGTACAATATAAGGTGACCTCTTGTCAACCTACTGTTGAACAAAATACGAGGATTGTTCAATAAATAATGTCCTGAACTCTATGACTTACAATACAGATATCATATGGCATTAAGGTTGACTTTCTCTCATCATTGAATCTTTAGAGAATTTATAACAATTTATGTGACCACTTTTCATCACATAGTTACATTGTGAGAAGCCGGAAAACAAGGGTATTCGAGACACTGCACTAAAAATGAATGGTAAAGAATCTGTAAACTAGAGTGAAATGAAACAGTTCATTTTGCTGCTGTAAAACTTGTTAAGAATCCCAAAGAAATACTCACTGAAATATGTAAAATTTACAGCAATCAATGTCTGTTTTATAGTTTATAGACAATTGAGCAGGTGGATTTCAATGATAAAAATTATATAATAATGGCATCAAAAATGGATACCGTCCTTGCAAACAAAAAAATTAACAACTAATGTACTGTTTGTCAAATTTCAACAAATAATCACTGATGGTGTATGATTGACTATAAGACACAAAGCAAATTCAATAGACATCATTTCGGGTGTAGTTCACACCAGTTTTAAAAGAAAAGTTTGACTGTAAAAAACTTTAGTACTCAAAAGTCACCC